CTTGAGCTGAAGAGCTGAGGGACAGCGCCCAAGCCCAGAGTTCAAGCCCCACAACCGACCAAAAAAAAAAAAAAAAAGATATTAGGTGACACCAGATACCGGTGCCTCACACATGTAATCCTAGCTACTCAGAAGGTTGAGGTCTTGAGGATCTTGATTTGAATCCAGCATGGGGCAGGAAAGTTAGCTCCAATTAACCATCAAAAAGCCAGAAGTGGAGCTGTGGCTCAAGTGCTAGCCTTGAGCAAAAAAAGCCAAGGGATAGAGCCTAGGCCCTGAGTTCAAGCCCAGAACCAACACTTTAAACATACATGTGTATGTGTGTGTGTGTGTGTGTGTGTATAGATACATATAATCTATCTATCTATCTATCTATCTATCTATCTATCTATCTATCTATCTATCTATCTATCTATCTATCTATCTATCTATCTATGGTTACTAATAAAAGCTTAAGAAAATACTTAATGAACTGCTCGGCTCGACAGAACCTCGACTTGACACTCTGTGGCTGTTCCTCACGGCTGAGGCATTTCCTTGGGTTCCAGAGAGGATGAAGAGAGACCAACCAAGGAGAAACAAGGAGTCAGGGTGCATCTGCAAATATGCACTCGCCTTGAGCTGAAGAGCACAAGGACAGCACCCAAGGCCAGAGTTCAAGCCCCATGACCGACAAAAAATAAATAAATAAAAAATACTCTATTGTATTATGGCAACATTTTAGGATGGAGGGAAATGGATCGAGTTCCTTCCTCTGCAGAGCCTTCTGATACCTCCTGAGCAGTACCTAACTACCATTTGGCAACCATACTGGTAAAGACAAAGAATACAGGTGTGGGCTCATGGTCCCTTCTTTATGAGATATAACATAAACTCATTTCAAAAATTTTAACTTAAATAAAATTTATCTACCATGCCTATTTCCTGGGCTGCCTGAGTTCTGCAGCCTCTCCTCATGGTGCTAGGTGGAAAAGGACACTTCTCATCTACCAGGTCACTTCAGTTTTTCCAGTCCTACTCCTTTTCTTCCAGTCTCCAGCCCCAATGCCATCTAGCCACCTTCACTCACTCCATTAGCTCAACACGCCTTTATCTTTGCGAGTGTAGCCCCAGGGATTGTCTGGGGCCATTGTGACCCTTCTTCCCATGGATAATTCCTGGTAAATCACTTGCTAATCCCAATAGCAGCAGAGTAGGCCTGTAACGTACATTAAAATCAGTAGACTTTCTTGAGTATGTGATGGTGGGAGGGGTGTGGGTGCAAGAACTTCGGTGCCCTTTCTTGATCTGATCCAAGTACAGTACTGGCAAGTGCAATATACCATGTGAAATCCCTCTGAAAGATTAATACACTAATTTAAAAAATGTCTGGGTTACACTAGTCGGTCTCACTAAATCAGGATGGAGCTGTCTTGGGTATACTTTATGGTTCATTATTATGCCCTTTCTCCAAAAACAGACTCCTGGTAGGGAGTAGCACAGAGACCTGCAAAGACCTAAAATGCCTGTTCTCTTCCCAAGAGGCTCCCTTTGACATCCCCACCCACTATCAAGGCAGAAGCAGCTCTTTCCGCACTTAATGTATACATGAAACATTTTTAGTGAGCTTACTACTTATGTCTTTGCTTCCCAAAAGCTCATGAGTGAGTAGCGCTGTCTCATTAACTTTGGATTCAGTTATTAGCACAGTGCCTGGCATACGATTTGCAAAAGATGTTCAGTAATTAAAAAATAAAAAATGGAGCTGGGCACTGGTGGCTCATGTCTGTAATCCTAGCTACTCACGAGGCTGAGATCTGAGGATTGTGGTTCAAAGCCAGCCTGGGCAGGAAAACTCCTATTTCTAGTTAACCACCAAAAAATTAGAAGTGGAGCTGTTGGCTCAGTGGTAGAGTGCCAGCCTTGAGTGAAAAATCTCAGGGACAGCATCCAGGACTTGAGCAAGCCTCAGGACTACCACAACAACAACCAAAAGACCACTTGCTTTGTATGCCCAAAGCCTTGAGCTCAATCTCTAGTACCTCAAAAAAGGAAAAAAAATACATAGGGGCAAGGTGGTATATACCTCGAATCCCAGCTACTTGGGAGGCTGAAGCCAGAGGATCCAAAATTCAAGGACAGCTTGGGGGAACTTATTGAGATCTTGTCATAAAATGGAGAAAGCTAACAAATAAAAAGAGATAGGGATATAGTTCAGTGGTAGAGTACTTTCCTAGCATGCACAAAGCCCTGGGTTCAATCCCTAGTATTATATAAACCAAATGATACTTTTACAGAGATACGTGTGTGTTTTGGATATATGTATTTGTTCTACCCAGCAGCATACACACATCTTTCACAGCAAAGAAAGTGCCACAAGCTGGACAATGGCTTTGTTGTTACGAGGTTCTCTAGTGAGTACTGTATTTTTGGGCCTTCTCTGAAAACAGCCCTATTTAGAGCTTTTGAAGGAAAACAAAGACCCTTTTCTAAACCCAAGTGACTATAAGGGTCACCAACTGTAAAGCATCGGATACGTGGCGAGTATCTCCCCACCCTCCCCGCACGTAGCTGCAGGCCAGGCACAAAAAGCTTGTCTGTCGTCAGGAAGGCCTAGGTCCTCACGCATGCAGAGCAAGAGCTCTGCCACCACGCTGCACCCCAGATAAGGATCAGAAAGTTTTATGTCTTTAAATATTGACTCTAGCAGACTGTTTATCTGTAAGATCTGCTTCTCAGCTCTGGCTAACCATCTCTATTGAGGAGGGCAGGCCCACAGTTGCCAGATCTGATCTTTCAAGTTAGAAATAGGAAAATTCATATTTGTATGTAAAACAAGATTTTTAGATATTGGCTTTCTTAAAACCTTAACACATAGAACAGGCCAAAACTAAACTAAATAAAAACAAAGGAAAACCAAAAAAACACAGCTACAAGACATATCTGGCTCACAGGCTTATGGGTTGACCATCTCTAATGTAAGCTTGGATGTGTGACTGGGGATTACAAAACTGTAAGGGTAAGTTAATGATTCAACAAGCAAACCCAAGCTTATGGCTGAAATCACATCTCTGTACCCTCCACCTGTGTTGTCACTATTGCTCCCCTAAACTTCACCTTCTCTTTGGAATTTTCAGAATGGATATGAACATCCAACCGACTAAAATGTAATTGTACTGGGCTTAATTAAAGACTCAGCCTATTATCCTAACAAATTCTGTTTTTGGAAGAGTCAGATACCTAGCCAACTAAATGGAAATACGTAAATTATCTTTTTTTTTTTTTGGGTTCGGTTGTGGGGCCTGAACTCTGGGCCTGGGCGCTGTCCCTCAGCTCTTCAGCTCAAGGCTAGCGCTCTACCACTTGAGCCACAGTGCCACTTCCAGCTTTTTTCTTTTTTGCTTATTTGGTGCTGAGGAATCGAACCCAGGGCCTCATGCATGCAAGGCAAGCGCTCTACCACTGAGCCACTTCCCAGCCTCACGTAAATTATCTTGTGCTGGATGGCAAAGCTCCGTGCATTGGCTCTTCACATGCATGGCTGCCCAGATCTGCAGTTACTTCTCCAACACCATGGGCTGTGAGGCACCACACTGCTCAGAAGACCACACTCAACACCCAGCAGACATAGAAGTGCACTGCATCTCAGCTCTAAGTCCAGCACTGACATGTTCCAGCTTGCTCTCTGGTGTATGGAAACCTCACCCTGATCTGTTCATGAGTCTGACTCTAGGATTTCCACATCGTTTCTTCCACTCAGTGCCAGCCCACCCTCTAACAGCAGCCCCCTGCCCACTGGCCAGTCCAGTACTGGGCCTGGGCATCTGGGGACCCCGGAGTGGTGAGGATACACAGCGATGAACAGGACTGATGGCACCTTGGTGCCTGGATCCCTCCTGCAGTGCCCAGAAAGGCAAGGCTTCCCCACACAGTCTGTAGAGCACCACCACGGCCCCATCCGGCAGCCTCCACAGCAGGCTGACAAGGGGAAATACCAGCCTCACTTGTCGTCACCTATTTGGAGGACTTGTGCATTTTGCCAAGCGCCCTGAATAGATTGCCATCTCATACACACTTCCTTTAAGAAGCACAAATATGCATTTGCAAAAAAAAAATAACTACTTTTTAAAGTCAGTCTTTGAAAAAGGTGATATGGTGGTCTCCCTGATACGTGGATGTTAAATACAAAATGTAAGGAGATACGACAAAGTAAACAGGACTCGAGAAACAAAAGGACCTCTACTCATCTTGTCATATTGTTACTAAATGACCCCATGCTGCTGACCACATATATGGCACACGTCTGAGGGGAACCAGGAGGAGGACACAGAATCAGAGGGAAACTAGGGAAAACACACAACAGAGGGGCTCATCAGCTGCACTGGACATTGATGAAAATGAACTAAGCAGCTCAAGGCAGCGAAGGGAGGGAGGGAATGAGAGGGAAAGAAGGAACAGCTCACACTAACCAAGAGGAAAGAAATGTACATTCCACCCCATGTGGAAGAAATAGCTGTATTGTCAAAGCTCACAGAATTCACAAAGTTTATAGACTATAATAATGACAATTTGCCTCATGGACGTTAGAATGTGTTTGTGACTTTAAGTATCATTATCTTAAAATACTGTGAAATTTTTGAAATTTATGTAATCACTTAATCACAATAAAATTTATTAAAAAAAAAAGAAAAAGGTGAGGAGGTAATCCAGGATATGATGACCTGCAAAGTATTCTAGCAAAGAAACACAGCCCAGTCCTCCCAGGCCCAGCCTGCGGGAGGCCGTTGCACGGCAGGTTTGGGGGCCTAAGAAGATGCACCTAACTGTGAAAAACAAGCCAGGCAGTTCTCTATGGAACCACAGCCAGAGTCTAATGTCTTCACTGACTCGCACTGTGATACACAGACATTAAGGACAGTGAATTCCCAGTGGCCATGCTCAGGGCAGGCAGTGCTTGGAGATCAGTACCCATCAGGGTTCAAGCATGACTGGCCAGCAGGGAAAGCACAGTGTGCTCTTACCTCAGCAGCCTGGGTCTCCTGATGTAGCAGTGTGAGGCCGGTCAAGTCTTCTAAGAAGGAATGTGAAGAATTGAACACCTTCGCTAGGAAGTTAAACCCTTCCCGTTCATACTGATCGAGGACCTGAAAAACATTTTATGTTTTTAAAAAGGAGGCTGCATAGATCAACTTCATATTTAAAGATTTTTAATTCTAACCAACAGTTGTCAAAAATAAAACTAAGGCTGAGCGCCAGTGGCTCATACCTGTAATCCTGGCTATTTAAGAGTCTGAAATCTGAGGACTGAGATTCAAATCCAGCCTGAGCATGAAAGTTGATGAGACTCTTATCTCTGATTAACAACCAAAGAGCCAAAAGTGGAGCTGTGGCTTAAGTGGTAGAGTACTAGCCTTGAGCAAAAGAAGCTCAGGACAGTGTCCAGGCCCTGAGTTCAAGGGCTGGCACAAAAAAACAAAACACCCTAAAAATGAAAATAAAATAGGGAACTACTATGGCAATCTGGGTTAGTATTTATCATCTTTCTCTCCTGAGAAAAAATAACAATGTCATCTTCTAGTTCAGCTGCCAATTTTCCCCAAACTAAGTTTTCATGCAAATTCACTAAAAATTACAGAAGAATTGCCATTACCTGCACTTTTACTTCTCCCAAATGATTTAATAGGTGAGGGACAGTGCCAGTGGCAGGAAAAGTCCCTGAGACTCTTATCTCCAATTAACCACCAAAAAGCCAGAAGTGGAGCTATAGCCCAAGTGGTAGAGCACTAGCCTTGAGCACAAAAGCTCAAGGATGGCACCCAGGCCCTGAGTTCAAACCCTAGGACACACACACACACACACACACACTCTCTCTCTCTCTCTCTCTCTCTAAAGGATTAAGGGAAAGGCAAAGACAAAGTGATTTGTTACAAATATACTAGCTACAAACTAGTTACAAACATACTAGCTAATCAAAAATACTTAAAAAAAATATATTTTTTTTCTTTTTTTGAGTCCGGTCGTGGGGCCTGAACTCTGGGCCTGGGCCCTGTCCCTCAGCTCTTCAGCTCAAGGCTAGTGCTCTACCACTTGAGCCACAGTGCCACTTCCAGCTTTTTTCTTTTTGCTTGTGTGGTGTTGAGGAGTCGAACCCAGGGCCTCAGGCATGCAAGGCAAGCGTTCTACCACTGAGCCATCTTCCCAGCCCTTAAAAATAATTTTTAACAGGAAAAATAAATGTTAACAGGCACATCATAAGCAAGGACATCCAAAGGGCCAATAAACATGAAAATGCGCTCCATGCCACAAGTGATCTGAGAGAAAAAGACTAAAACTATAGTGAAATACCACCATGTACCTACAAAAAGGCTAAAATTAAAGCCAGCAAATACCAAGTACTGACAAGGATGCAGTTTTTATGGGGGTTCTAGTTTAGAAGTAGAACATTTATATCCTTATGATCCAGCCACCCCACCCCTAGATACACACCCACAAAACATGTGCACAAATGCACATCAAAAAACACAAGCACGTGTCAGTGGCAGCATTAGTCATAAGAGCCTGAAACTTTGTCCGTAAGTCCCATGAATAAGTGAGTGGTGGTACAGTTGTGCAATGAAACAGTATAGCCATGAGAACTACAACTACATTCATCAAACAACAATACACATCCCGTCATGGTAGAACCCCGGAGTGGCTGTCTGTGGGGAGACTATGACTAGAAAGGGCCCTCGGGACGGCCCTGGAGGGAGCAGTATATGTTGGCTCCAAAAGGTCTACTTTTGGAGAATGCATCAAGTACAACAGTTAAGACTTATGCAGGGTTTTGTTTACATGTAGATAAGAGGCTGGTAGCCCTGGGAAGAAAACAGGAAGAGGACAGGAAGGTGCTCTCAGCAGCAAGAACACGCGACAGCCATTTGTGGGTAGTTCACAACTACTCCTACAGAAAGGAGCCAAGGAGCCCGAAGCCTCAGTCCTCCCTGAACACAGAAGAAACAGAAATGAATGTTTAAAAAAAAAGACAGCAGACATTGAAGACAAACTCAAGGAGTCAGTGACAGAGGGCCAGACAGATGAGAAAGCAATCAGTACTGCAAGGCGGTAGGCTGACTGGGCATGGGAAAATAATGGGACAGCCCAATGACAAGGTCAATAAAGGCCTCTAATAAGTAACAGAACCCCTTGGTAATGGGGAGATTACTTACAAAGCAGCCTGTTATCACAGAAAGAATGGGGATGAAATGTAGATGATGTTTTCAAAGTGATAAGCGCTGTGTATTTAATCATCACTTTTTTCTGAGTTAGCCCTCAGCCTGGCAGTAGTTGCTTTCTCCTGTGTTCCAGGAGAGGAGAAGAGACAGGTTTTGAAAACTGGACACAATTTTAACAAAAGCTGGAATAATTCCAGACGTGATATTTTGTTGGACTTTAGTTAAACTTTCAGAACTTAAGTCCATGTTTATACAGATAATTTTTATGATTCTACAAATCTGACAGTGGAAAAACTACCAGCAAGGATAGAAGAAAGGCCTTCCTCTCAGTCAGGGTCTGCAGAAAGGTTAATGCTGAAACATTATTAATAGCCCTGGCTGCAAAAGAATGGAAAACTCAATCCTCTAGGGCAAATTGAACCAGGCAAGGGGTTCCAGCATTCTCTTTAAGTGCCACGAAGCTAATCTGTGTCACCAGAATAAGCAGCTTATAAAAGGTATGAGGATTTTTTCCCCTTATAAAAAGCTTAATCTTCTCAAAGGGGGAAAATGTGTTTGAAACTATCCAAAGAGTGAAAAAAAAATAAAGGAAAAAAGAGAAGATAGTGTTACAATGCATTTGAGCAGTAACCTGATAGTAATCTACATAAAATAGGCCACACCTCTTTTTTTGTGAAGGTATTGAGATTTGAACTTGGTTTTCTTTTTTTTTTTTTTAACTCGGTTTTATTGTTCACAGCTGGTGTTCTACTACTTAAACCTCATCTCTAGTCCTGCTTTATTTTTTGCAAAATATAATGAATTTTTTATTTCTTCTCTCTCAGAACCAACAAGACCACTAATAGAAACTTTAAAAATTGTAATTAGAAGGGAAATACAATATGAATATCATTAAGGTTAGTATAAGTTAAACTAAACAAACTTTATCACATGAGCAGTGGGCTATGTGTAGAATTATTTTTTTTAAAAATTTTTATTATCTTTAAGTGGTTGTACAAAGAAGTCCTGTTTTTTTAAATAGCTGTTTTGGAGATGGAGTCTCAAAGACTTTTCTGCCTGGGCTGGCCATGAACCAGGCGAATGAGAGCCTCTGTGCACTCAGGCACGGTCCCCAACAGAGTGTGTGTGTGTGTGTGTGTGTATGAACCAGGCGATGGTCCCCAACTGTGTGTGTGTGTGTGTGTCCACACACACCAAGAATATGTGAATATGTGCTGTCTGCCCAGAGGTCACCTGGCTCATGGCGGCTGGGGATTGTAGAGCAGTGGGCAGGCAGGAAGAGGGCATGCCAGCCTCTGCTGGGCAACTTTCTTAGGGAGGTACCTCTCCTTTTTTCAGTCCCCCCTCTTTTTTTTTGGTTGGTCATGGGCTTGAACTCAGCCTAGGTGCTGTCCCTGAGCTTTTCTGCTCAAAGCTAGTGTTCTACCATTTCAGCCAGAGCTCCACTTTCAGTTTTCTGGTGGTTAATTGGAAATAAGACTGTCATGGACTTGTATGTGCTCTCTGAACCTCGATACTCAGATCTCGGCATCCTGAGTAGCTAGGGTTACAGGCATGAACCACCAGCTTCCGGCTGTCAGTCATCTTTTTAAACCAAATCATGAAAACCAAAGATGTTGTCTGAAGACTCATGTTGGAGAATCCCAAGACTTAAATACCAAATCAAAAAACCCTTCGAGCCGGGTGCCGATGGCTCACGCCTGTAATCCTAACAACTCAGGAGGCTGAGATCTGAGGATCACAGTTCAAAGCCAGCCCAGGCAGGAAAGTAGTGAGACTTTTATTCCCAATAAGCCATCAGAAAACTGGAAGTGGCGCTGTGGCTCAAGTGGTAGAGTGCTTACCTTGAGCCGAAGAGCTGAGGGACAACACCCAAGCCCACCACCGACCAAAAATTTAAAAAAACACAACCAAAACTTACTACCTCATTTATCTTTTTTTTCCCCTTAAAAATGTGAATGTAACAAAGGCTAGCTCTCTAACTCCATGCACAACGCAGAGCAGGCACCTGAGTATGAGCAGGGTCCCTGGAGGGCTTCAGAGTTGCTGACTAATCAGTTAGATCCAGACTGGGATCTGAGCTTGGTGATTCCGGCGAGTTTCCCGAAGACAGTGATGCTGGCCCTCAGCCACGTGGTAAGAATGTCTCCTGCAGCTACACAGGGGCACAGGCCCTGACACTCATCCACAAAGAAGCACACATGTTTCTTTACTATGCACTTTCAAAACTCATCTTTAAGTTGAACATAGTGGTGCACATGTGTAATCCCAACGATTGCAGTGCTGGGGTAGAAGAGGCAGGAGGATTGTGGGTTTGAAGCCAACGCTGGCAGAAGTTAGGGAGACCCTCTCTCAAACACAAAGGGCTTGTGAGTCTAGCAGTAAGGGCTTGCCTAGCATGCCCGACTCGTCTTTAGTTGTTGCGCTAAAAGACATGACTGTGTGTGATACCAAAGGTTGCTGGGCCGTTTGACTTAATCCCTTCGACACATTATTCATGGTAAGAAGTCCTTCATTCCTTCTTCCCTGCAGCCAGGTTTCCTTAAGAACACGACATGACTTACAATGTGAATTTGGGTTCAGTGCATTTCATTTTGGAATCGAGAGTTATATAAGCACTTATCTGGCACAGAGGTTCTATCGATAAGATTGCATTATGTTGTACAGTATTCTCTCTTTTCCCTCTGCATGGCTGTTGAGGGCATTGTCATAAATTGACAGCTGGAACAGTCTACAGTACTTTTGGTCTGGTTCATGCACAACTTTGGAAGAGGTTTTAAAAAAATGGATCTAACACTTAAAAATAATTTTCACATTAAAATTCAGCTATTTAACTACTCCTAAAGTACAAACAAAAATCATTAGATTTGGCAACATCATTCCCAATTTCCTCCACAGCAACCCATCATGCCAAGGCAGCCCTTTGCTGCCCT